TCAAATTAAAAGACATGCATAATTAACTATTGCTCGTAACAGGTAAAATGTTATCCTTTTCATTAATAATTTGTACTGATTCGAATTCTCACAAATTAATTTTAGGAAAATCATGAACTAGACCACAGAAAAAACTCAGAAATCACTTGAACCTATTCAAGCTTATAATCGAGCCATTTGAATTGGGTTGTTTTGTTGTGTTGGGAGGTGGTTTACCTGTGCGAGAAAAGGTTCTGGTTCGCCAATTGTATAGAGTTGACCAACAACAGCAATCTTGTTCTTCACATTGGGATTAGAACTTTGGTGAACCATGTGGAGTTCCATGTCATACCTGATGGGTTATCAATGTTAATCAACAATTTAGAATCATCATTAGATAATTCAAAAGAATAATTATATCTTAATCCGGTAATTAGAATATTCTATTAATTTCAGGGTCAAAGAAGATGGGTTTGTAACATCTTTTTAATGCAAAAGGGATACCTTCTTCCATTGATGGAATGCTCTGAAGGTGAGTGCCAATGCGCTTGTTGAAGATCATAAACGACGCCGTTTACCTTGATTGATCCTGCCTTGCCAACCCAATATACCTACATCCACAGGCACATTAGACGAAATAAAATAGAGAAATCAGAAACCACAAAACTCGATGAAGAGAGAAGGAATCTGTTGAATTTCTTACAGAAATGTCATGGCCCCTATTTTTGATCGTTGCATTGCAAGGTTTGTAGCTTCTCTTCAGGTCTCCAAACTTCGGAACAATCTTCACTCTCTCGCTGGATAAGTCTATGGGAGATTGCAAAACCCCATTATTACAAGCTTCCCACTCTTTCTTTATCTTTCCCCAATGTCTTGGCCCTTTCTCACTCCCTTCTCTGTAATCAAATTCGCTCTCATCCTCTGCAACCCGATGATTTTGAAATACTGAAGTAAGCATTTGAGCCAAAACTCTAGTTTCCATCTCAAGAGTTAACAATTAATTTTGATTAAAGGAATGAGAAGTTATTCACATAAAACGATTCAGATGAGAGCGGTACGTCGATTCAATAACTAATCAGTAGAATCAGAAATGGACATAGAAACCTAAGCATACGGTCTAAACACAACAAGAAAATGGAGGTGGGAGAATCAAAACAATGTTGCAGACTTGCACGATTAAATGAAAGAAAAATTGTTCACATAAAACGATTCAGATGACAGCGATACGTCGAAAAACTAATCAGTAGAATCAGAAATGGAAATAGAAACCTTAACGTACGATCTGAAAACAACAAGAAAATGGAGGGTGGGAGAAATCAAAACAATGTTGCAGACTTGCAGTCAAGAGTTCACTGCAACTATTTCGAATTACCGATGTAAATATTCGAGCCGAACAATCTATAGCTTCCATCTCAAGATCTAACACCGATATTTACACGATTAAGTAAATGAATCGCCAAACGATTCAGACGAGAGCAGTCCTCTTCGACTTAAAACCAATTGATAGAATCAAAAATAAAAAATCGAGACCGAAACATAATAGCTTAAGTGAAAGGCAAAACGCAGATAGAAAAAGGAAAAGGGAAATCAAAACAACATAGACAGAGATATATCAGTAACGGTGAAGAGCTTACCAACTTCTTGCGCCGAGATTGAAGACAAATGCAGGGAAAACAGCAGAAGCGAGAAGAAAACGATGAGTGTAGTCTCAATTTTCATGGCTTCTGGAGCGAAAACTGAATCGAGGAAACGGATTTGCAAGACAAAGCAATGGAATCGGAGTTGAAATTCGGTAAATTCTCTCAGATTATGAACAATATATAATGTATAAACATCGAGAGAGAGAGAGAGAGAGAGAGAAACGGAGAGCAGTGGGAAATTTCTGGGGAGGTTCTGATGCAATGGAGAATGAAAATCTAGAAGAAGAAACATGTGGAGAGTTGCTGTTCATAACGCTCCCATGGAAGGCGGGAAGAGCTGATTGAGTCATTTCCAGTGCTTTTTTTTTTTAATATTTTTACTTATTTGTAATTTTAATTTATCTAAAAAATATTGACAATTGTTCCAAAATCGATATAAGAATGGGTGCAGAAATTTAATTTTAAATAATATCAAAATTTTGAAATAAATCTACTATCTTAATATTCAACATAATTAAAAACTGAGATTAAATGATATCGCCTAATTCTACCTAATTTTTATATAATTTACTATAATAAATGTTATTTTAAAGAAAATATCTAATTAAAAAAAAAAAAAGTAAAATTAATTTTTTTGAAAATTAAAAAACGAATGTGGCTGCTGGGATTCGAGCCCAGGTCTCCACGGCCACAACGTGGAATTCTTACCACTAAACTACAGCCACCTTGTTATTGTATTCTAATTTAAATTATTTAGATTAACATAAACCTTGCGAAGCATTATAATGAGAATTTTCTTTAAAAAATACTTAATTTTATATTGTTGAAAACTGGTGCTCGGTAAATTTTAAAATGTTAATAAAAATAAAATGCTTTTAACTATTAAATACCCTCCAGCTTCTATAATGTAAATATTAAATAAAACTTTGACGTGCAAAATATTCTTACTTAACCAATTTGGATTAAAAACAAAACTTTGAAATGCTAAATTTAATATTTGCTGAAAATATATAGATTAAAAATGATCCAATTTTTAAATATAAAAGTACTAAAATATGAGGTCAATGGTTGGTTGGTTGCAATTCTAAATTTCAAGATTTAGTTTATTTCTAAAATATTTAAAAATGACATTATAATTATAATATAATACCCATTACTTCATTATATGTTACATTTTAATTATTATATTTATTTAAAAATTTTAATGTACAAAATTATGTTGTAGTGAAATAGTGGGCTCAATTGTGGAATGGGCTGAAAACGAAATTGATCGATAAAGGCCCAAATGATAACGGGCTCAAAAGATAAATAATAATATAAATATAAAAAGATATAATTTAATAATATAAAATAGATTAATTATGAAAGAGACACAAAAGGTATGGGCCTCGAGGAACATGAGGAGGTTCCTTTTATTTTATTTATTTATTTATTTATTTATTTATTTAGAAGTAGTTTGGTAACCCCAATTACACGCATAACTTTAAATTAATTAATTAATTAATTAATAATAATAAGGAGATTAAAGGTTGAATAATAGGTTAAAGCCAAGAAATTAGGGCTCTCTTTTTAGTATCTCTCCATCTCTCTTATCAAGGAAGACTCAAAACCATCAATCATATCAATAAAATAAATACTATTTTTCTTTTTATTAAATAAATAAGACCAATTTAAAATACTTCGAAATGTTTTATTTAATTTGTGATGTTCTAGTAAATTAGAGATACTTGAATGTACTTGAATCACGAGATGGTTCTAAAATAGAGCTATACATATTTACCTCATAGGAATCCTCGTTTCAAACAAAAATTGAAGAGTTAATTGGGAGAGATTTCGCTCCATAATATAAACAGAACTTACAAGTTAAGCACTTACAAGTTCTCATGAGCTTCTTTCATTTCAGTAATGAGGAGAACATAGTTTTTCGACAAACAAACAGAGAATCTTTATATACTTTCAAAACATTACACATTTCAGTTGATATACGAATCATCCTTGCAATGACCAATTCCTTTATTTTTTCATGCAAAATCTACGATAAACTGTCAACAAAAATTTTAGTGCAAAATCTCTCCAAACTTAGGGAAGCTGTCTTCTTTCACATACATATTAACAAATACATACATATATATATATACACACACATACATTTATTCCATTACATTTTCATAAATTTATGGGGGAAAACTTGGTCCCATGAAAAAAAAAAAAAAAAAATCAACTCGAACCGTCCCATTTTCTACAACTTCGAGACATTTGTAAAAAAACAGCATCTCATAAATGGAATATTTAGCAGATGAGATAATGGAGGGAAGGAATCTCGACTTTGGTTTCTTTTTTAATAAACACTTTAATATGAAAAAATTAAAGAGAAGAAAACGCAAGAGGAAAAAAAAAGTGTATTTTTCTTTACTCTATGGACACATTAGGTTGTATAAGCCATTTGCCAAAAGTGAATGAAAAAAAAAAAAGAAAAATAAATTTATAATGGTACCAATAGGAAGTGTAAAGCGTTCGTAAAAGAAAATAAAATTAGTTTGAGTTTTGGAACGGGAAAAAGTCAACAATTTAGTGAAGGGCAAAGTTCGCTTTATTTTACCGCTGTAGTAAAAAAGGTAAAATCTTTGAATTCGAAAAGGTTAAAAGGTGTGTTTGGTAAGAAACGTCAAAATTTTAGTTTGGATTAGTTTTCTAAGCAATTACACCATTTTTAGAAAATAGATGAGCACTCTATTTAAAATAATTTTTATAAGTAATATTTAAAAATATTTATTAAGATATATATTAGGAACAAAATTTAAATCATAAAGAAGATAAAAGAAAAATAAACCCTAAACTCCCTTTGTGGGGCCCGATGTCGTTAAAAAGAAGAGAAGAATCAACCGTGGATTGGCGCGCGTGTTCCATTTAGGGCGCTCGTGCCTTGTAATACGCCGGAAACGGTGAAATCACTTTTTTGCCACCCAGTAACCCAACAATTTGAATTTATTACCATTAATGAATGAAATATATATAAATTAAATAAATAAATAAATGATAAATAATAGTATTATAATTGACAAAAAATAAAAACATTCGAATCTACAGTATACATATAGAGTAAAATAATATTTTTTAATTAAATTATTTTACTATTTTATCAGGTTATCTAAGATTACCTACTTAGTAAATTGTAATGACATAATATAAATGTTCATTCTTTACCTTTGCCTAATACAAAAACATCGGCCTCCCGACACTTCAACCGATTGTTAGTTGATATAAAAAATAATAGGTTACGGGTCCGAATCTCCACTTAATCTGTTGTGTTGTATATACACAAAAGGAGAAAACATGAGTAAATATTAAAGTAAAGAGTGGAGAATATCCTTTTACCACCTCAGAAATTGAGATTAAAAACAAAAACAAAAAAGAGAAAGAAAGGGAAAAAGAAACAGAGGAAGAGGGGAATCTTCAAAGAGTCAGTCCCATAGTCAAAAAGGAACCACTTTTCTCTCCACATTAACTTCTTTACGTTGCAGCATTATCCAGTTCCAAACCCAGCTATTTACAATCATTTATACGGCCCAATCATCTTATGCCACCTCACCACCACTCCCCCGGATTTCTCAAATTTTGAATTTGCGTTAGGAATGGTAAGATCTCACATCGATAGAAAAAGGGTACCTAAACCTCTCGTTAGAAAAATTCTAAAGAAAGACAAAGTCAATCAAAAACGCAAAGGTTCATTAACAAGAAAAGTAAATTGGATACAACTTTACTCCTCGAGAACCAAAGATTCTCTCTCCCCCTCTCTCTCTTTCTCTCTCTAACTGAATCCCAAAAGTCTATGACAATGATTATACTAGACAGGAGGAGAATTGAGAATGCTTTTGAAGGTAACATGGAAGGAAGAAAATGAAGAAAAACAAATAAAACACAGTTCTCAACTCAGGCAACAAACAAATACAACTTTAGGGCAATATCTAAGCCTGCAGAGAGAGTGAGTGAGAGAGAGAGTGAGAGAGAGAGCTTACCATTTTTGCTCCAAAATGTTGACCACAACCTGCATTGTGCTGCTAGCTTTGCTGCTACCCTCCTGCTGGCCGCTAGGTGCCAGTGCCGCCGCCGCTCTCAACCTCACTCTCCCCGGCCAGCATCCGAGCCCTGAACTGGTTGCTCAAGAAGTTCACAGGTCCATCAATTTTCCATTTTTTTTTCCACAAATGTTGTTTTAGAATCACTATGTTCTTGGCTTGGCTCTCACTCTAACTGTCTGCATTTTGGAACTTTTAGCTACATTGTCCATTTTCTCTACTTTAATGGCCAGTTTCAAGATTTTTATGCTTCTTTTTTGTAGGATTTCATGTATTAGAAGTACAAAATCAAGTTTAAAGCCCGGTCTTTCTGTTTCTATGTTCTTGGTTGCTCTGTTTTTCATGGCCTTGTTTATTTCAGCTTATGCTTAAATCTTACTCTACCAATTTTGTTCTGGTTAGTAACTATTATCTTTCTGACCCATTGTAAAAACTTTTAGGTGCATCGTTGGATTTCTTCACAAATTGAATCATTTTTGAAATCTTAACCTACTTTTATAGATTTAGTAATTATAAGAAAAAGAAAATGCCATTCAAATCTACAGTTTTCCATTTCATTTCATATCTTAATCTTCATGCACTGTTCTTTGTTAGATTTCGGCATTTTTAAAAGAAAAATGCTGCATAATCCGTCTCCTTCGCTACAGTTATTGGCTACTCTGTTTTTGTTTCTGTTTGTGATGAAAAGTACTGAAAATCCCCAAGTTTTTCTTCGTCTATCCTTCTTTCAGATCATTTGTCGAATTTGAAGGTATATCTCTGCAGATTCAACCATTTATGGAGCTGACATTTAGATTATACTGTCTAGGAAATGTTTAAGTTCCTCAAAAATCCTAAATTATGGAAGGAAATTGTTACCTGTTGCAGGAAAGTGAATGCTTCCGTAACGAGAAGGCAATTGCTCCAAAGCTTAGAGAAAGACGAATCTCCTTCTTGTTACACCGGGAACCCCATCGACGACTGCTGGAAATGCGATCCAAACTGGCCAAACAACCGCCAGCGCCTAGCCGATTGCGCCATTGGATTCGGCCAGTACGCACTCGGCGGCAAGAACGGCGAGTTCTACATCGTCACAGACGATTCCGACGACGATGCAGTCAATCCAAAGCCCGGAACGTTACGATACGCCGTGATACAGCCTCAACCTCTCTGGATCGTCTTCCCGGCCAACATGCTCATCAAACTCAAACAGGAACTCATCTTCAACAGCTACAAAACCCTAGACGGCCGCGGCGCCAATGTCCACATCGTCGGCGGTGGCTGCATTACATTGCAGTACATAAGCAACGTCATCATCCACAACATCCACATCCACCATTGTTATCCATCAGGTAACGAAATCGAAAAACCTAATCTACCTTCCTGTACACCAAATGTTGGACGAAATGCATCGATCTGAAGCTTGGCTCTGGCTCTGGCTCTGCAGGTAACACCATGGTCCGATCGAGTCCGACGCATTATGGATATCGCACGAAATCGGACGGCGACGGGATATCCATCTTCGGATCGAAGGACGTATGGATTGACCATTGCTCACTCTCGCATTGCAAAGATGGGCTGATTGACGCGGTGATGGGCTCCACCGGAATCACAATTTCAAACAATTATTTCTCGCATCACGATGAGGTTATGCTTTTGGGTCACAGCGATAGCTACTTGCCGGATTCCGGAATGCAGGTAAGTTCCCCATCCTTACTCCTTGTTTCTCTCCGTAAATTACTTTAATTAGTTTAATTAAAAGTTTATCCTCGTTTTTCACTATTATTTTAAAATATTTACTAATTTATGTCGTATTTCAAATTTAGTTAAATCCGTTAAATTATAATCTTTTGTGAAATTACAATATTACCCTTATTCTTTTATAAACATTTTTAATAATAAAATAAGGTTTTTGCTTTTTATAAAGGTAACAATAGCGTTCAACCACTTCGGCGAGAAGCTAGTCCAAAGGATGCCGCGATGCCGGCGAGGGTACATTCACGTCGTCAACAACGACTTCACCCAATGGGAAATGTACGCAATCGGCGGCAGTGGGAGCCCCACCATCAACAGCCAAGGCAACCGCTACACCGCCCCATACGACCGCAACGCCAAGGAGGTGACCAAGCGGGTCGAAACATCTGAGTCCGAGTGGCGTGGCTGGAACTGGCGTTCCGACGGCGACATCCTCGTTAACGGCGCCTTCTTCGTTACCTCTGGCCAAGGCCTCGAAGTCAAGTACGAGAAGGCCTACAGCGTCGAGCCCAAATCAGTCGCCCTGATCGACCAGCTCACTTGGCACGCCGGCCCGCTCGGCGTCGGCGGCAGGGATAACAATTTGGGGATGTGGACCACTGGCCCCAATGGTGGGGGGGGCTTTATCATTGGGTCTGGTCCGGACTACACTGACGACATGTCGGAAAGCTTGTCTCGGATTGGGTCTCCTTATTTTGTCATGGTAGTGTCTGTTTTGTTGTGTTCTTTTTGCGCATTGGCACTCGCATTTGTGCAATGACGACATTGAAGCATCTGGGGATGAAAGCTTATGACAGAACAGACAAGCGAGAGTGGTTTTTACATTCTTTTAAAAGGCACAAAGGCCTAAAATGTAAATCCATTCGTCACCCATTACATGCCAAAACTGACTTGAGTTTATCTAATTTGTTTTTGTTAAATCAGCCAGTGTGGTATTAGCTTCAGTACCAACCCATTATGAATAATTTGTGTCTATTTTACGAGTTCTTTCTTTAACTTTACTATTTATGAAAGTCCATAGATATATATCGTCACACCCTTAATAGGTAATACTACTTCGTTCTCATTTTTAACGAAGGTAGGACCTCACAATCCATTCCATTGGAGTCTAACGTCTTTACTGGCACACCACACGATGTCTGACTTTGATACCATTTGTAACAACCCCAAGCCTACCACTACCAAATTATCTACTTTAACTCATTACATAACTACCACTATCAAATATCATCCACTTTAACTCATTACATAACATCATCAGTCTCACAGTTCTAAAACGAGTCTGCTTGAAAGAGGTTTCAACACGCTTATAAAAATGTTTCATTTTCTTTTTCAACCGATATGAAATCTCCTTACATAGAAAAGAGTTAGAGAATAAGAGCATCTGCATGATGCTCAGCAAAGGAGGTTTATAATTGTGCATTATTTTTCAAGCAACTGAAACATCATCATAAGAAAGCTAAAAAAGAAAAAATGAGCATTTGAAGTGAGAAGGGCAAAAAATATATATATTTATAAAGCACATAATAATACTTCACAAATCATTCTTAAATCTGCAGCAAAACTACTAAAAAATTCCTTACATTTTAAATTACATTTACTGCTGCTGGATGCGGATGCTGATGCTGGTTTCTTTCTTCTGATACCTTCACCTTCACCTTCCCAGGGGTTTGGATTCCAAGAAGAAGGAAAAAAAAAAAAAAGGAAAAAAAAAGAATAAAGAAAGAGAGTTGGGAGTGAAAAAAATGAAAAAGAATACCAAAAAATTTTGAGAGGGTCAAATCTGGACCGTCTATATCAGTCATTTATGTTTAAAACTGTTACCACGCAGTCTCCACTCTGCGTGCAACATCTGCCAGTCTTTTCCAAGCTAACTCTCTCTGCTCTTCGACCTCTTTGGCCTTCATCTCTTTCTCTGTGTACTGCCTCTCACATTCTTCAAACAACTCCTCGTCCATTTCTATGAACATCTTTCGAACATTGACAGTCAGCCCATGAACCGCCTGGTTCCAATGACTTTGGATATTCTTCTCCAATGCTTGAAAGATTATTGGCAATATCACAGCCCGGTTTTGGGCTATCAAACCAACAATATGTTCATTGTTCCACAGAAACAGAGCTCTTTCAGACACCTGCATCATATACATTCACAAGGGCCTTATAAAAAAACAAGGGGAAGAACAACAACCCTCAACAGAATCATACCGGAGGAAACTTCAAAAAGTATTTGGTTTGTCATTTTAATAAAAAGATGGATCACTGAACTGCACATATAGAATAATTGAGCTTTTCAAATCCTTGTCAGTCAGGTCTACATTGTCTATCATTCCAAATGCTCATGCATGCATACTTCAGAAATGTGAAAACCCTAATCACACAAGTCTTTGTCAGCAAAACAAAAGGCAAACACGTTTTCGTTCACCAAAGAAAGCCCTAAGAATACTTCCATGGATAAATGCTTTCAAATCATACACACTAATCAAACCAAAAGCTCTCTTCCAACAACAGATTATATCTTGGGATAGGTCAATCTCAACTAGATTCCCTATAAAACAAAAAGCAATTCATCACATTCTAAAACTTTTCTAGTGGTCGTTATACAAACCGAGACATTCTTATACTTTTCACCGTTTATAAGTCCAAATCTTAAGCATTAGAAGCCATACACTAACTGGCAACACCCATCAGAAAAAAACAGAGATATACTCCCAGGCTGCCACCTGTTTTACACGTTAAGAAGATACATTTTAAAACCACAAGAAGAAACCTAAAATGACGTGACAGTTGAAGAATAGGTTTCTCTTATGGATATAAATTAATTAATGCACATTTACAGTGTCATCATAATGATGCCGTCATTAACCATTTAAATAATAATTTGAATTTTTTAGACCGATAAATTGAATAGTCTAATTGATGTTTTTATACAGTTAATTTAAATTAATTAGAGTATATTAAAATAAATGCCTACTTAAATTAACTGCGTACATCTTTGAATGCATTGCCATACAAACTAAACACACAACATCTTTGACATGCATCCTATAATTTTATGCAAGCCGCAAATTAAATGGATCCTAATGGTCTTTCATGGTGTCCCTCCCTTCTCATGTTAAAATTTAGATACCTAAATTTGAACCTGTCCTCGGCTTAGGCATTCTGTGGAGCACAAAGGAGGAAAAATAGACCACACATTCCCTTGTCACGCTTTAGCTACTAGCCTCCGGCACAAGCGTTTTCAGATTTTTGGTTGAGGGGGATAGTTTGCACTAGAGAAATTTTACAGTTTCATAACATCTTCACTTTATAGTTTAAACCCATCCCTTTCAAGAGGCCTTTCAAGAGGAAAAGTAATATCCATATGCTTAAAGGGCTACTCATCACGAAACTCGGCTAAAAGAGGAATAAAGGAGCATGAACTTTCCACAGTGTTGACAGGGGGTTGGGCCAAATTTGGAATGTTATTATAGTTTTTGTTTATTCTTGGTGCTCTCACAGCAGAGGATTTAATAATTACATTCCTTCTACTGAGGCTATTGAAGACAGATTTTGTTGTAGCCTTGGCCTTCTAGTTTCAGCTATCATATGTTCCAATGAAATATTTAGTACCCAATCACAGGGCCGAAAAAATATATACCAAACTAAATTTTGGTCATCACTCCTCCAAACATTACTATTGTGTCATAATAAAACCTTAACTAGGCCCTACGATGACAACATCTGGAGTCCCCACATTAAAAACACCTCCCAACAGGGGATAAGAATTGAACAAGCCCCATGACATCAATTAGTGCTTCAAACCTACAAAGCGGAAATCAAATTGAGAGAAAAGGAATCCCCGTACATGTAAAGTAAAGCCTCAGATAATTAAATAAGTAGTAATATCTAAGTTTCAATAATAACAGAAATTGATAGAGATTTTTCAATTAGGAAGAAAAATTATAGAACCAGAAGGATTTTACTCATCACAAAAAGGAATTCGTGTAATTGACTATGAAACTGTTATGAAGCAGTTTTCTAAGAAGCAGAAGAAACGAACACTGGTATGCGATCAAAGATACAATATTCCCAAATCAAATTCATTAAATTCAGACCTGGGGCAGAACATCAGGTTTTTTATGAAGCAGAAGAAAAAAACACAGATGCATACAGGTTGTTATGTTCCACAAAGGGACAAGGCCAAATCAGAACATCCAAAAAAAAAATCAAAAAGTAACTGAGAAACAACCACATTATAAACTAAAGAAAATGTAATGCATATGTTAGGATTCCACCACTTTTATATTACATTATCGAATAAACCAACCAATAAACATAGTACAACAGATGAAGAACTACAGTTATCAACAAATAAAACAGCCTTTAAAAAATAAAGTAAGAACTAGAGGGCATCACTGTTTAGTTTTTTAACCACTTTTGGCTAGTTATATTAGGAAGGATGCAGTGACTGCAAGTCCAGAGGGTACGAATGTTTGTCCTCTACTTTGCCATCCAATCCATCCCACCAGAGAAAAAACAAACTAGTAGTATTTCAAAGTACGATTAACAACGAAAGAATGATAGCAAGAAAAGGAAAAAAAAAAAAAAAACCTCGGGGATAACAACTATTGCTCCCCCCCTCAACTCTCTCTCTCTCTCTCTCTCTCTCCATGAGAGACGAGAATATATATTTATGATTTAAAAGGAAATAGACAAAAAGGATGCGGCAAGAAATTCAAATATGGGAAAATCAAACTATAGAGGCAAATCAAACATCGAATCTTGCAAGACACAAAACAACTGAATAACTAATGCACCTCCTAGTTATAAACAATTAAAATTGGTCTATTAAGAGCGTGAATAAACAGTTAATAAGATTTGTGATTATCAGCAAGACAAATTACTTATGCATCTCTATGTTGAGACAAAATTTTAATGCATTATGTTATATAATATCAGACATACAAATCATGCTAATGAACAGAACATTGAAAATATTTAATAACTTCAAACCTGAAAATGAGAGCTATTCAGGCAACGTGCAATCTGTCTAAAAAGTGGAACCATGCAGCGCTGAAACTCCGCTGATTGTGTGGCCTCTAGTACTTCTTCAAGCTCTCCCAGGAAAAGAACTTCTTTCTGGCAGTTGATCAAGGGCCAATATTTCAACAACCCCCTTATAACGGTATCCGCTAACTTGAAATCTTTCTCAACAAACTGTGTTATGCAGTAGGATAGCTGTTGGTGATAGATTGCAATTGATTTAGGCTTGTGCAAAGGAATAAGTGCCCGAACAAGAAACAATTTATGCTCCTCTTTCATTGGTAATGCAAACCCATTGATGATACTCCCAAGGATTTCCAAAAGCTCACCAACACCACTGTGTCTTTCTGTCTCGTAAATGAACCGATAAAAAATGTTATTGATAGCCTTCCGAATAAATGGCCGATGAACCATGAACTTTCCATATATACGATGCAAGATTGTCTTCAAATATTCCCGCTCACGAGGATCCTCAGAGTCAAACAAATCCAAAAGTTTCAACACGAATGAGTGGTCAATATACCTCTTGGAAATTTTGGTATCAGTATCAGATGACACAACATATCTCAGTAAAAGTTCATATACAATCTGCAAATGAGGCCATGACGGTTCCAGATAAGGTTCGTCTTCTTCAGGATCAGCATTTTCCTGGCCCGTATTTTCATACGAAGCTGGAGGCAAGCCCCGAAAAATATTAACTGAAATCATTCTAATCATTTCTTCTTGACAAGTTTCTGTGATTTTGCCCGACCCCGATTGTATCACATCGACCAATTCCATAAGAGTCTGCCGCTTAATTTCCTTCTCTCTGGCAGACTTCATTGTGTCCGAAAAATCAAACTGATAGCAACATATCTGCAATTTTCTAATGAATAAATTCTGTCTTTCTGAAGCCGGTGCATCGCGGAACAACGGGAGAGGTTCGATAGTGCCGGTAGGAGGCGTCAGCATCATCACCCCCGGAGCCCAGTTTGAATTGGGGCCCGATGCAGCAGGTCCAGGCCGAGAAGCATGATTCACCACCACGTTCGTAGTCGAAACAGACCCAGAATTGCGATTCCCCGACGGTCCAAAGCCATAAAGTGAAGGATCAGTAGCGTCGGACTTGGAGGGCTTACGATGCCCTCCCTTCATAATTTTCTTAAACATATCTCCTCAAAACAACAAACCCTAATCCAAAAATTCGGTAGGTTCAAGGAACGGGAATTAAAAGAGAAGCATGAACCACCGCTTTATAGGATATCGATTCCAAGAAATGATGGATCAACATGCGCGGATTAATAGCCCTAGGTCATGATTAAACAAGAGGAATGAAATCCTTCTCCCACTAATCAATTCTAACTGTAAAAAAATCTATAGAAGCAAGCATGGATCTGGAATTAGGGATTGGGACACGGGAAAACGGAATCAAACAAGAAACAAAAAGAAGAAAAAAAAACGTTACCCTGCCGGAATACAATCTCTGTGAAACTTGGCCGTCAATGGATCCAAGTAATGAGTCATCCGAGTCGAATCGCCAAAATGCCGGCGGAATGATCGAGCGATATGATTCCGGCGATCAATCACATCAGAGAAACAGAGCCCCAGAGAGCCAGAAAGAGAGAGATTTCAAACAGCGGAAGTGGAAGATAATTAAAGAAAGGAATGAAAAGCTAAAAACAGAAAAAATAAATTATATATAAAAAAATTGGATAATTAACAGAAATGATTGCATATAAAGCCTTTATAGACACTCGACAGTTTTTTCTTCTCCTCCCTTTCTTCTCTAAAAAACAAATAATAATTTGAATTATTATTCTTTTTTTTAATAATAATTAATTATATTCAAACTTTGGATAATGCTTTTATCTTTATATTTTTGTTTCCCCCGCATTTGAATGACCATTTCTTATTCTTTTTCTTTTTTCCTTTTATAATTTTATTTTTTTAACAATAAAAAATAAACAAATCAGCAACAAAAATCACGAGTGGCTGTGGCTTATGAGTATACACGTGGATAACAAGTGAGGAAGTATCCACGTGGCATATAAACACTTTTTTTTTTCTTTAAGTAATAATATTCCAAACAATTATTAAGATTTTTAATGTGTCATTTAAATAAGAATATTAAAATTTCAAATTCTTTTTTTTTTCTTCCACTAATATTTAGAGTATTTTAAAATTAAAAAAACAATATGAAAAGAATTTAACTGTAAAGATCTTCTTTAACATTTTTTTTTTTTTTTTGTTTAATTTAGGAGTGCTGGACGAAAATGAATTTTGTATTTGTGATATTATTTTTTAACCTCAGGATTTTGGAAATAATACTGATGATGATATTTATGTGAATGGAAATTAAATTTAAACAATTAAGAATTGATAAGGATATTCATCCAAATTACATTAATTCATTCTGTACCTATCACGTTGGATTTTACCTTTTCGCCCACAAATTTTGTCTGGAATATAAATTTTTTATAAAATATAAATTATGTTATTAAATTTTGATTATGCTTTTATATTTTATCAAATATAAATTACTTAATTAAAATTTGATTATGCTATTCGATTTTGTAAAATATAAAATATAAATTCAACCTATAATAGTTTTTTATATATACATTAAAAAAAAAATCTTCGAATGGATAAACAAAAACCATTGAAATGTTTTTTAAAAAAATAAAATAAAATAATTGAAGTTCGAGGGTGAATGAGTCTTTTACTACCCAAACATTAAATTGACTCATTAAATACCATAAAATATAACGAATCATTCAAATTCAGCTGGTTTATTAATAAATTTGTAATTTGGAAATGAAAGCAGAAGGCATATGGAGTTTCAAAGATGAATTCCAAGTGGGACACATTAATCAAAGTGAGGTTATAACGTTACAAACGAACCTATTTTCAAGTCGGTCTAAGTGGGATAAAGTCGCACATTATCATTCCAATAGTTGATGGTTCAATCTCCACTCTTACAATGGTTACCTACACAGAAACAATCTCGATGGTTTTATTATGAAAAAGACATTTAGCCTTCTTCTTCAACCGACTGATAAGCAAACGTAGAAAGCTTCTTATAAAATTAAGGTGAACAACCTCAAGATCATACAAAAGAAAACATTTACTATTCTGTAGATTACGACTTCTTAGCAAAATGGTAGATCACCTCCCTACACAAGCAGCACTAAATTTGGATAGTATCAATAGTGTTAATGAAGATCTTGCCTTCTATCTATCTTTCACCAAAGCAAAAGGCAACATTCTGCCCAACTCCCAGTTCGGGATGGAATTGGAAACCCAGTTCCAACAACTATTTCCACCCAACAGAGGATGAATGTAGGTGGAGACTAGACCTCTTGGTTCGATGACGCATTGGTAAGAGGAAAGGGGAGGTTCTGATGCTAGAGACCTGCAATGTTTCACCTTTCATAGATCCGAGAACACTAACTTTATCATTCTGTTTCCTGTCTTTCCTCTCTAAACTTCTTATAGATATCCCCCTTATAGAATTCCCAAGTTCGAAGCACCAAAATGAAAGAAACAACACAACCCAACACGGTTGCAGCAGTGATTATCAGAAAAGCTAATCTATAACAATGGACGCCCTTGCAGGCCAAGTCCCTACCAGCAACACTTGCAAGACCAGAGGCAGCCATTTGCTTTCTAGCCTCTTGGTCGTATAAAAAGCCAGCTACTTTCACGTTGAAAATGTATGAGCCAACTGGGCTAGCAATGCCGCTTATGCTATACAAAGTTGCATAGTATTTCAACCCAAATAATTCAGAAACAATGGCAAAAATCAATGGCCATTGTGCTCCAAAGCAAAATCCAATGATCACAGAAGAAAAATAAAGGGAAGTTGGGACTCCAAAGGCAATTAGAAGATGACCAACGCAAGAGAAAAGAAGCACAAGAGTGAAGAACAGAGGGCGAGAGAAGCTATATTTGGTCCATAAGAATTCAGAAGCATAACCTGAAAATGCTCGACCGAGAAAGCCCCATATACTCATGAGGGAAGTGAAAGTAGAAATGCTATGAGCTGAGTAGCCAAGGGAGCTGCCTATCTGACCCAAGTTGTCCATTGCAGTCAAAGCCCCACCAGCCCCACAGATTGTAGCAACAAACAGTATCAACATATCTACACTGAAAATTGCTTGTAAAATGGTGTAATCGTCTCCTCTTTCCGGCGGTCTGAACACATTTTTAAAGCAAGAAATTGGTGGTCTAGAGGATGATAATTCAACGGGAAATGGGTCTAGTGGAGGCACAGAAATTAAATCCATATCTTGTGATTTCCTCTTCCTCATGAGGAATTCTTCTCTTATAACAACGACAAGGGGAAGAAAAAGAAGCACTAGGAGGATAAATGCACAACCCAAATACTGAATTCTAGTAAAAATGAGCTCGTTTTGAATAATGACCAAGATCATGAGGAAGCCAGCAAGAACAAGGGAAGTGTAGAGCATATAATAGAAATTCTTTAGATCATTGGATATGGATATTCGGTCCACTTCCACTACTCTAACAACCCGAAGAAGCAAGAAAGAAACAGCAGTAGGCAGCCAAGCAATGAGCAAGATAAAATCCTTAGAATCATCTCCATAAAAAGCATGGTAAATCTGAGTCAAAATTGCCCCACTCAACCCAACATAGCCTTTCAATAAACCCAATACATTACCTCGATTTTGGGGGAAATTCTTCACTGAAGGGATCAAAGCCCCTGTATTAGCAAATGTCTGAGAATTCGCACCTAGGCATATACACAAACACATAGCGGGCAGTTTGGGTTTGGGGATTCGGTGAGTGACAGAAAGCCAAATCATGAAATAGCCAAAGAAATTCATTACCCCGCCAATTAGAAGGACGACCCAAGGCGGTGTAATTTCATTGATGAGGCCCGAGAAGACTCCAACGTTGGCGCCCAGATCCTTGAAGAAGCCAATGAGGTTGAGCGTGGTCTGATCGTAATCCAAGGAGGATTTGATGTCGGCGGAGTAGAGGGCAAGCATGTAGGTGGCACCGGAAACGGACATGATCAATAAAGAAGCGAAGACGGTGAACCATCGGCCCAATAGAACTTGCAAGACGAAATTCCTCATTGGGACAGAACTTCGTGAAGTCCTGATGCTGAATCTTACGCCTCCCATAGCTGCAGCGCAATGAATTGAAGCTTAATAAAGAGATGGAAGAGCTGATGGGTGGTGGCGAAGCGCAATTAAGGAAGATATTTTGGTAGATTGCAGCTGTGTTCACATTGATAGAAATTGAAAAGAGCAACGGAAGGGAATGACAAGCCGATATTCTCAGCTCCTCCCTTTCATACGCCGGCCAAATATCGCCGTCGTCAACGTCAGGTACATCCTCAGGCCAAAATTCCTCACCGGATTCTTTGCAGGACGCAATTTGTGTTTGTTCTGCGATCTTACAGGAACATGTGATGTCTTTATATTTATTTATTTAAATAAAGAAAGAAATATTTACTGAAACACGCAACTGGTAAAGGCATTACGGATTTATGTGATGCAATCTGAGCTTTGCATTATTGAAGCAGTGAAAAAAAGAAGAAAAATAAATGTTATTATTATCCAAGCAATTCCGAATGTGGCAAATGGGGCCCACTGCATTATTCAGAAAAATGGAGAAAAAGAAAGTCTTGAATTTAGAAAATTATCGAACTGGACAAAGAAGGAGAAGACTGAAAATTCACGTACAGACAGGAGCAGAATAACACAAATTACAACCTGGCCTTGATTTTCATCTTCAATGAAATCACCGTAGGTCCCAGGTAAAGATGATGATCAAATTGTGAAAAGATCAACGGTCACAAATAAGACACGACCCAAACCCGTCCGATTAAAAACAATTAACAAAACCAAATACACCAAATTAAACATGGCCGCCGCTGCCGTGAGTGGTGGTTGTTGCTTAGTAGTCGGTGGTTGGGAGTTGCTCGTGGGAGTTGGAGATGAAGATGAACTCGTAGATGAGCCCAGCAAGACCACCTCCGATCAGAGGTCCAGCCCAGTAGACCCAGTGGTTGTCCCATGACCAGCTCACCACGGATGGCCCGAATGCCACCGCTGGGTTCATCGAGGCTCCGGTGAATGCTCCACCGGCTAAGATGTTAGCTCCGACGATGAAACCGATTGCGATGGGTGCAATTGTTCCCAAACTGCCCTTCTTGGGATCCACTGCGGTCGCGTACACTGTGTACACCAATCCGAATGTCATCACGATCTCGAAAACGAAGGCGTTTAGTTCACCGACTCCAGCTGATAGAGCGAAGCTTCCGGTGGGCTGCCATGCACACAAACATAACCCCCACATCAATTATTTACCGGTAAACGGGATTTTCTTCCATGTAACGGAAATAACGACATCTCACCCGAATAATTAACTCAAACAAACCCTCCTTGAAAAATGACAAGTTTTTGTTAAATTTGATAATTTTTTAAAAATATTTTTTCGCAGTAAAATTGACATATTTTCATGCGTGTTAAAATTTTATATTAAATCCTTAAAATTACAATGAATTTTTTTATATACAAAAATTGTCAGCTGCATTGTGTTAACTTCCTGTAATTAGATTTTAGTTTAATTATTTAACGTTAAAAACTTTAGGTGACTCACCAAGCCAGTAACGAACTTAAGGAGCAAGCAGGCAACGACGGATCCGAGGAGCTGGG